CTAAAGACACAGTTCTAAGGATTTGCACGCCCGGTATTCTGCACCTGCCTTCTCTAAAGATGACTAGCAGTATTAACAGACTTAAGGGATTCATGTCCAAAACTGATGAGAGTGTCAAGGTTGATGATTAGAATTTGGGGAGAATGAAAGTCCCTCTGGGACACACCCTGTATCTTAGAACTCAGCACTCTGAATGAAGACACCTGAGCTTCTGGAAGAAGCAAACCCATATAATCATTCAGCACTCCTTCAGCAGAACCTGATGACATGGTACCCATTAATAATACTAGAACACAACTTAAAGATAAACTTTTCATCAAGGAATTAAAATGTATTTGATCATGCAGTCAGAGAGTGTGGAAGATGCTTTCATAGCCTTTCAAACAAGACCAGTATTGTCAAAGTTTGCTATTTCCTCTGCCATTTCTTTATTCCCCTCTGCCCTCCAAAGATTTTCAAAGTCTTCAGGGCCATGATGTTACCCAGATTTGCTACCAACTTTCCGTTTTCCCCTGATCTTTTGTTTCAAAGTCTGCTTTCTTTCCCCTGTGTGCTCACTGAAGCCTAATTGTGGGGGTCAAGCTATAATTAGTTTATATATGAAGTTTAATTCATGATGGCTCTTTTGGTATTAGGCTCAAATGGGCTTTGATGTCTGGCTGCAGCTTTGATCCCAGCTCCTCAAATGGTGGTCATCACCAAACTCAAAGGATTTCCCTTTACTCCCTCTCTCCCCCATTTGGAGACAGCTTTCCCCCAATTGCATCATTTGTGTTTGTTTGGCCATAAACGCTGCATGGCATCATTTTGTTGCTTTTCTCTATAGCAAAATGTGCAGCGCTCCTTTACTCTGTCTGCAGTAGAATGTTCACTACTGGATTAGGAATTTGTAGAGCAATACTTAGACTCTGGCGGGGATGCTCATAGGAAGTGCTATGCCCAAGTGCAAGGCTCTAGGCTGTGTGATCTAAGACACCCTTCAGGCTCTTCCCAGGAAGTATGGTTACCCATAGATCACATAACTGTAGCATGCTCAGTCTCTCTCTCTCTCTCTCTCTCTCTCTTCCCCCCTCACGCGTGCACCTTTATTTTTAGTTTACTCTCCAGACGCTCTGCACAGCAGATTCATTCCATCTTTAGTGCCGTACTTTCTAAATGTTCATAAGAAGACAGAGACCTGGAGGGGTGGAGGGTGAGGATGAAGCAAACAAGGAACTAGGAATGAACCAGACTTGAAAGGAGTTAATATATAGCACTAGTGTGTGTGTGGGGGGGGGGAGGGGGGGATGCACCAGAACCTGCTTTAAAAAGAAAGAGAAAGAAAAATCAAATCCATAGGGGGAAGTGAGTGTCAGCACCAGAAGGGAACCGCCTCTTACAAACTTGCAATTAAAACAAAGAACCAGAGAGGGAAGAGAATCGAGGGAATGAGACCAGAGAGGAGAATATTTGGCTGCTAGGTTAGGAGAATAGGGGCAACCCAGCCAGTTGCACTTAATCTGATGACATTGGGACTTTTCCTGGAAAAACAATTACTGCACTAGGCTCCTTGTTTCTGACTTCATTTGACAGCTCAGGTTTGTTTTAATTGGCATGTGAATGAACAGCATTATTTATTAATGTGTAATGGATCCTTTGGAAAGACTAACCTTTATTCCTATTCGTGACCATTTTATTGGTGGTGCCATCTGAATACATTAGTTTTAATATTTAAACTTGCTGGAAACACTTTTTCATGGAGACGGACAAGCTGTTATGGCAAATGGTTTGCTTTGGACTAATGAGCCACCTCAAAGTGGCATTTGGTGGGGGTGGGGGTGGGTGGGAACGTGGGGAGATTTGGAGACACAGTGACTTGCCTGTCTGCTCTAACAAGATTTATTAGTAGTGTGTAAGAACGACTCAGCCCCCCCCAACTGTATAAATATTGTTGTCAATGTGTGACATAACACAGGCCACAATAATAGGCTCCACCCAACTAGAAGGAATCTAATTCAGAACTAGAAAGCAAGTCATGTATTTAGAAATGAGTAAAATGGAGCAATGACAAAGGACATGGGTGAGAGGCATTTGGAAGGCAGTTTTTTCTTTTTCTTTTTGGTAGTTGTGGGGCTTGAACTCTAGGCCTGGGCACTGTCCTTGAGCTCTTCAGCTCAAGGCTAGCATAGCACTCTACCTCTTGAGCCACAGCTCCACTTCTGGTTTTCTGGTAGTTTATTGGAGAGAAGAGTCTCATGGACTTTCCTGCCCGGGCTGGCTTTGAACAGTGATCCTAAGATCTCAGCCTCTTGAGTAACCAGGATTACAGGCGTGAGCCACTGGCTCTGTGTGTGTGTGTGTGTGTGTATGTATTGGTGCTTGGATTTGAAGTAAGGGCTTGGGAGCTGTCGCAGCTTTTTCTGCTTAAAGTTAACATGCTATCACTTAGCTACAGCTCCACTTCCAGGGTTTTTGTTGTTTGTTTGTTTGTTTGTTCCTTCTGGCTAACTGAAGATAAATATCTTAGGGATTTTCCTGCTCCACTGGGCTTGGAACTGCAATCTTCAAATCTCAGCCTCCTGAGCAGCTAGGAATACAGGCATGAGCCACAGGCATCTGGCTAAGTCATTCATTGTTCTTCAGTACCTTAAAATTAAGGAACAAAATTAGTTCTTGTATTACCAGCTAGGGTTTGACATGCCATAGGCATAAAGAATGGGTGAGTTAATCCAATAGTTTCTGTATGCTTAGGAACGTCTGAATGTAACTCTACTTTTAGACCTAGATCTTAGGATCTTGTTAAGGCTGTAGTTCCTTCCATGTCTGTGGGGGGTGGAGGAGGTGGGAGGAAGCAATGCAGAGGAGAAGTGAGTGGCAAGGGAGCTTTTGTTTTTGTCTTTTTGGTAAATGTGGACTTAATGCTATTTGTTGTAGAGATTAAATGGGTCCTATTAAGTTTTAAAGTGAGCTAAAAAGTATGCTAATGAGAAAACAATGTCCAACTAACCTACCTTCTCCAGAGTCTAGCAGTAAGCAATTACCAGTTGCATGCTAACCAGGCCCAGTGCTAAGAGCTGTGACCTGTGGAGGGTAGTAAAACAGTCCCAGCCTTTAGGGAGTTTTTGTGATGTGGCAGGAGAGAGGAGGTTCACATATACACCTACATACACAGACGTAAGTGTGGAAAGCAGATAAAGAACAAAGCAATAGCATGCAGTTGATGAGTTCAGAGGGAAAAGGGCATCACACTACACTGAAGAGGGAAAAAACAATTCTTAGCAAGGGTAAGCAGCTAGGCAAAATTGTACAATTATAAAATACAGATACAAATTGTGGATTGCTGGGTTCAATTTCTTTTCTTTCTTTTTTTTTTTTGTCGGTCGTGGGGCTTGAACTCTGGGCCTGGGCCCTGTCCCTCAGCTCTTCAGCTCTAGGCAAGCGCTCTACCACTTGAGCTACAGCACCACTTCCAGTTTTCTGGTGGTTTATTGGAGATAGGAGTCTCACAGTCTCTCCTGCCCGGGCTGGCTTTGAACCGCGATCCTCAGATCTCAGCCTCCTGAGTAGCTAGGATTACAGGCGTAAGCCACCAGTGCCTGGCTTGCTGGGTTCAATTTCTGAGGTGCTTGGATGCACTGCATATATATATGTGTGTGTGTTTAGCTGTTCCGTTGACAAGCCAGACCTCTACCCCACTGTGAGCAGTGTCTCTAGCAAAGGTAACTGTAACACAGGTGACACTCCAAGGGGGAAATTTGTAAGATCTTCTGCAGGAAAAACAAAGTAGGGGGGAGGGGACTTACATTAATTCTTACAGCCAGTGTGCCAGCCACGTTGTAAACGCACAGCGCAAACACACACTGCATGCTGTATGTCATTTCTCCAAGAGGTAAGTTGCATTAGTAGATCCATTTTACCTCTGAGGAGAAAGATGGGCACAGACAGGCCGAAGTAACTGGCCTACATCGCTATCCATGGATGAAACAGGGATTCAGCGTCTGCTAGGATGGCTTCAGAGTCAGTGTCTGAGTGAATGGAGACTAAATAAAAACAATAAACAGAACCAAAATCCTTGGCGGGCACGTGTGCACGGGTAAACCCTAGCTTTCAGATGCCAGCGTTGTAGCTTGCAGAGAGCGACCCCCTCCTGCCTAAGTTTAAATGCCTTCCATCCTTAAGTCTTGTTTAAAAAATTAGCCGGGCGCTGGTAGCTCACGCCTGTAATCCTAGCCACTCAGGAGGCTGAGATCTGAGGATCGCGGTTCAAAGCCAGCCCGGGCAGGAGACACCGTGAGACTCCTATCTCCAATAAACCACCAGAAAACC